GGACCTGATGTAAAGGAAACAATAGACCAAGAGGGTTTGGAGAGAGATGGGGCAAAAGGATGTGGAATGAGGGAAGTAAACTACAGGAAGGGACTTCATGGCCAAGCCAGCATCTGCATGGGCAGAGATGGGTGAAAGAACAACTAGCAATAGGGAGGGCATCTGGACTTGACTTAGCAGGTGCCTGTGCAGGGCAGATCAAGGGAGAAAAGTGAGCTGCAAAGGGGAGATCTGTTGAAAAGGGCTCCAGAGAGTCGGCGTTGCACCAGGCTGCTGGGATTATTGGGCTGCTGCTGAAAAGCTCTAGGACAGTGATTATTTCATCGCAGCATCCTGAGGTACCGCGAGATCCTTTTAAGCATGCCGTGGCACCTGGTCTGCGTGCAAGGAGGTAAGTGCCTGGCACCCACCCCAGTATCCTGCAAACCAGCAGCACCCACAGCTGCTCCTCTGGGGGCTCCTCCTGTGCCCCCGTGCTCTGAGCAGTGTGCTCTGCCACAGACAGGTGGGTGACATGGATTCACGCTTTTCAGCTTGGCTCATTCTGCCCACTTTTCCCACTGTGCCCCAGGGCTCACCGGAGGGGCCACAAGTGCCAGCATGCAAATCCTCAGAGAAGCAGCCATGGTGACAGGGGCATATAGAGAGGGGACAGACAGCAGAAAGAGCCAACTCTAGCTAGAATGCAAAGAGACATTTTCAGGACAAGTTTCCTGATATTTAAACTTTGCAGCCTACAGGAGCAGGTGTGACTAGTACTAAGCAGAAGTTAGCGTGAGCTTGAGGCACCATCAGCAGCTACCTGAATGGCAATTGGGCTGTTGGATGTCCTGAGCTGTGGCCACAAACTGACTTCAACCATCCTTGCTTTCATCCCTGTGAAATGGGGACAATAACCCACTCCTCCCCACGTGTGCTGTGAAGCAAGGTGCGGCCTGATTTGTGCAGTGCTCTGACCCTGCAAAGTGCTGTGTGGTATCCCACCAACTTCCATGGACATGTTGGACAAAATCTGCACCAAAATCTAACAGTAAGGGTGGTTTTTATCACAGTCCTAGCCCAAGGCCCACTGTGCTCGGGGATTACACAAACTGTGGGGGTCAGAGGGAGAATGAGGGTGCCAGACACTTCCTCTGTATAGTCTCTTTTGTAAGGTTTGTTAGTTTGCAGTTATCTGGACTAGACTGCATTTGCTGTTCATTTAGCTTATGATTCTCAAATCACATGCTGCAGGGTGCAAGGAGGGTAAGCTGTATAATAAATACACTAAAATGGGGTCCTGCTAAATTCAGAAAAGGTTGAGAACATCTGTCTTAGAAGCTGTTGGCTCCTTCCTTAACACAGGGTTTTTGCAGATTCTTAAGAAGCACCGAGAGGTAGGAGCGCTCCAGCATGAAGACATGGGGATTTTTGTCAGGGGTCTCGAAACGGGGTGTGACGTCCTTCCCAGAAGAGCATGAACTTCTTCTCGTTTAAGAGATTTCCTTTTTTGTAGCTTTGAGGAGCGCCTTTGTCAGAGCCTGAAGGGTAGGGGGGGGAGGTGAACACGTCATCAGAGGGATCAGAGCTGATCAGAGAACATCCTTTAAGGTATAAAGAGCCTCTCAATGTGGGTAATGCTGAGGCGGGAGAGGAATGAGACATATCTGGTTGAAAGATGAAGAAGGTAAGCGGCGGTAGTTACTGAATCTCCGTGGTGCTGGGACTTCCCCACACTTCACCCATCTTCATGGGAGGCAGCCTGGCCGTTATCTCTCTCCTGAGCTCCTGGCAACTGCGCTGGAGAGCAGTGCTTTGAGAGCAGACTGTGTCCAGAAATTCAATTCTAATTTCATCTCCCCACATCACACATACAGAAACATTTCTCCCCAAATTCCCACCTCCCTTTCCCAAAGCCTTGGGAATAAGGACCAGGACTGAAGGTCCGTGTCCCTTTTGCCCTCATCCCACGCGAGTATGAGCACGCTCGTGCCTGACGTGCCCTGCAAGTAAGGCAGTTCCTGGCTCAAGTGCATGCATAGCCCAGTGCCATGGTTGGGCTCTCTGACTCACTGAGGCCACTCGAGCTATCTGTGCTGTGGGCTCAGGCAGGCATGAGCATGCCAGGTTTGTTTCTCAGCAGACGTGGGTATAGCCATGTCTTCAATGGCCAATAAACCAAGTAGAAACCCGCGGCCTTTGGAGGGTTTCCTGATGTGGAACGCTTGCAGAGGAGACAGGCGCGTGCGTGGGCACCTCCCACACCTTCCCCCTTCCATGGCTGCACTTTGGGCGGTGAAAGGTGATGACTAGGATGCCAGGGAAGAGGCCATTGTCTGTCAGCAGACAGGCCTGCATCACTCCCCTTCCAGCTTCCACCTCTGCTGCCCGCTGTCTCCCTCCGTGCATTTATTTTAACCCCTCTCTGATCCCCCCCCCCAGGGCTTCTTCAAGTTTGTCTCTTTTCTCCCTATGTGTTCGCAGGTTTGCCTGGGGGTTGAATTTTCACTGGAGCTCATGAAGCAGCTGTGACTGATTTTTACACTCGATTTGTTTTAATTTTGGAAACTCCAAGCATCCTAGAGAAGGTGGCGACTAATAGGTAGAATTGGGGCTGGGAGCTGCTTTGCTGCTGCTACCAGAGCAGCTTCTCAGACCGCCAGGCAGCACTTTGCAGACCGGGCCAGAAGGACCTCGGATCTGGGGATTACTCATAGATCAGGTTGTAAAAAGAGACCAAAAACCAGTGCATTTCCCTCGTGTGTTAGCACAGAGGCCCATACTGCAGTGTGAACACTGGCAGGCTTTAGTCTGCATGAAACCAGAGGCACAGCTCGTCAAGGACACGTGCGTGTGAGATACCGAGACAAGGTTTGTTTCGCTGTCAGCTTCTTTTAGAAATGGGAACAGCGATGCTCCGTTAATACGTCTCTCAGTTATAAATGGGTCAGGTTGCCCTTTTCTTTATTTGCTTTAAGAGCAATTCCTCTGGATTTTTGCCTGGGAAATCTTCCCTGCTGTCACTTCCCTTCCCTTAAAGCAGGCTTGCATACATGCACGATCCAAAAATCATAGGCAGGGTCTGGGTTTTCAAACAAATGGGAAGGGACAAAGTTGTGCTTGTGACAGACTTTTGTCCTGTTTCAGTAATTCTCCGGCAAAACTTGCTGAGTTTGCAAGTGAAAAAGTGCTTCCCCCCCTACTGACTCAGCACCGGCCCCAAATACCGGTCGGTGTTGATTCTGGCTCATGCCTCACCAATACTAAAGACTCTGCAACTAGCTTTTTGTTAAAATGTTGCATGGCCCAGAAAAAGAAAATATCCCATTTGCTCTCACAAGTTGAAATAAAGCTGACGGGTTGACAGCCTTCCTGCTCATCAAAGCTGTTCTGCTCGACTGTAAGCCCAAAAAGATCAACCCTGTGAAGTAATGAGGTGCTTTTACTCAGTCGCATTTTCACCGTACGTGCGCTTTACCACCACAGTCCCACAAGTGAGTCTGTTTTGAATCTGATCAAAGAGAGTTGGAGCCACAAACACTTTCCTGGCTGTTTGTGCTACAGCACTGGCATCTCATGCTTTGTTCCAGGGTCCTAAGTCTAGCCTACAGGGTTTGGCCACAAAATAGCATCTTTAGTGCATGCATTTAGGGATGCCTTTCATGATAAAGTTTTCCATGCCAAAAAAAAGGGAAGAAAAAAAAAAAAACCCCAAAAGGTCTTATGGAGCAATTGTTCCACTTCCCCCCAATTTGAGAAGTAATTACTATATAATTGCAAGGCTAAGGAATATGGAATAGAAAGAACCATAAGCAATTGGAAACGAAGATGGCAGAATTGTTTAAAAATTGCTTGCATACTGGCGTGGTGTTAATTCCTCTGGCCTTGCCAAGGAAAAATGCACAGGTATTGGGTTTGAAAGAAAAAAAAACAAAACACTTTTTTTGAATTTTAACATTTCTACTGTGATAGCTCCCAGGGCCCGATTCAGTCAGAGCATGGTTTAATTCAGTACCATACAAACATAACACGTCGATGCATGTGTTTTTTGTTCCAAAGCAAAAAAAGAAAGCGTCTGCTGTGTTTTGAAGTTGAACAGTCCTAAAATGCATGAAAATCTCTTGGAAAGCAGCAGGACGATGTGCTCTAAGAACGGAGCCTTGAGATTTTTGTCTCATCTCTGCCCGTTTCACGGTACCTCCCAGTACGAGTCGCTTCTTATGTATAGCTTGGTTCTCCCACCTGTGTACGTCGGTGGTGATTCCTCGGAGCCAGTGCTGCTTGGAGATGCGCTGGCTGTTTGCCTACAACTCAGAAGACTTAAAATGGTTTCTGGGGTAGAAGTATTTTTCTTACAAATGATTTAAAAGCAGAATTGGGCTAATCGGAGTACCCAAGAGAACTTTTGCCTCGGTACAGCCATGCCTTGCCTTCTGTTCCTAAAAGAGATCCTTCATGCAATTCCTCCTGTCCCCTGCAAAGAACCAGCTCTTGTTGTGCGTCCTTGAAAGAACATTTTTATTGACCAGATTCTTTCTCTTTCCTATCTGACACCAGCATAACTCAGTAGGCCCTTGTTGTTATTTCTGATTTGTACTGGTGTGAGCAAGTTCAGGGTTGGGGCTGATAACTGAACGTGGCTAAATTGCATCAAAGTATGGTTTGGGGGCAGGAACTTCCTGCCACCCGCATTGTAAAAGAAACACACTCATGCAAATTGAGGAAGCTGTTTGCTATATAAGAGTACCTCTCTTTTCGTCGGACCTTTTTATGAGCCAGCCCAGGGACATCAGTTAACTTTGAGCTTGTGCTGCCAGGTGTTAGTCAGCCACTGTTTTAAAAAAAAAAATGACAGGATCCAAACAGCTTGTGAAATTAATGAGGCAATCAAAGGAGAATTTAAAAGCTGCAGTTTTGAGAAAAATCTTCCTGTTCTGGGCCTGGCCTAGTGAAGGCAATTAGATAATGGAGGTCCTCGTGGCTTTGGGAGGAAAGAATTGACCACTCTCATTTTTCTGCAGGAAGAGGAAAAGAAGAAAGCCAAAGAGGAGGAGGAACAGAAGGAGTATGAAGAGTACCTGAAGCTGAAGGAGAGTTTTATTGTGGAAGAGGAAGGTGTTGAAGAAGCAATGACCGAAGAAGAGGTATGTCGGGCTGTCTCTGCAGCTAGAATCCCTGACTCCCTCCCCCTGGCTCATTGTGGCTGTATAAATTATCCTTCTTGCATTTTATATCCTGCAAAAAGCACTTGGCTGGGGGAAGGCAGAGTGTGCATATAGATTTTTTTCTTGCATCTTTAACAGCAGAGATATGTGTATATATAATAATTGTCAATTTAGAGTATTTACTGGGGAGCATTAGAATACTTGATTCCAGTCTTTAGAATTAGATGTGAATAAATGCAGCCCATATATCAATGAGTGGGGCTTTGCCTCTTTTGCAAGAGGGCTGGATTAGACTGATTTTAATCCAAATGCCTTCCTAAAATCAGCAACCCTGCAATACACACAAAACATGCTACTAGAGTGCCAGGTAACAGGGAGCAAAAGTAATGTTGAATACAGAGGTTGCTTCCAATTTGCTATTGATAGTTGAATACATTTTTAACTCCCAACTTCAATCCCTGAGAGGTGTCACATGAATAAAACTGAAACAAAGCTGATGTTTAAATGTGGTTTATAAAATGAAGCTTTAGCATGCTCCTTTCCCCAGTGTTTCTGGTTGTGTTTCTGCCACTGTACACCCTGCAATGCTAATGATTTTTGCTGCTGTTAATGCCTTACCCTCTGCAGAGGGCTTATAACACCCATCTTCTGTGGCCACATAGAAACTTGTTTCTGGATGCTGCCGATAAAATGTGGTACTTTATCTAACATTTTTTACAGTGCTGTTTTGGAAGGCAGGATTCCCTGTTTAGCATTTTTCCTGGTTGTAATTTGAACTGCTATAAAATGAAGAGGGGCCTGGAGGTTGCACCTCCCATGTATTGACAACTGAATGCATCTGACTCTGGCGTATCTGTTTAAAAGTACCAAGCAACTGGATTGTTGTCCTACTCCTACAGCCAGAGGGCTTGTGTAGAGGCAGATTTTGGCCTATAGGATTATGATGAGCAAAGAGTGTTGTTTTTCTTTCTTTCTTTCTTCCTCTAGCCAAGTCTGTCCCCCAGGAGTGCTTTATCGTGTGCCTAATTAAGACCAAATAGAAGTTGCCTAGAGTTAGTACCTGCGAGGTGTATTTTCAAAGACCTACAGGGCAGTCAGATACCTGGCTCTTCTTTAAGCTAGGGTTTGGATGCCTAGCACCTCTTAGCTATTTGCAAATCCAACGCCAGCCGGCATTAAAAAAAAATCTAGCCCTAAACTGTGTGATTGGCTTTTTGAAACTTGTAAGTAGCAAAGTCCTACCAGGAGTATGACACAGGTAAGATGGGCTTCTTTCCAAGTGACCTGCTGTAGTTAGTTAGCTGTGTCCTGTAGCACCACAGGTGGTTTTAGAAGATGGTTTTACAGCTGAAGTAAAGCTGTCTCATTAGCAACCTCCTTTTAAGCAGGCTTATGCAACTGTAGTTCGTTTGTTCTTGGTGGGAAGCTGTGTCCATGGGAGCAGAGAGGGAGGGTTACGCACTTAAGAAATTGGGGCAAGGGTTCCTTGCTGTCAACCTAAAACCTCTGTTTTGTTACATATGTGACTGATAAAGTACCTTTTCCAAACACCCATTAAGTAAAAATGCTCCAAGATATGCAGTTGTATAGGAATGATAATGTAGCTAAAACCAGGTGCCTTTCTGCCTTGGTTCTGTACAAGGTACTGCGACATCCTGGTATCCTGCTGCAACCACATGCTCTGTCCCACGTGGGTTTGTAATAAACTTCAGTGTCTCAAGACATGCACTTAAATACTTAGTTAGGCACTGAATAAAAGTGGCTTAATTTCTAGCCCCAGTGTCTCCCACAACCGATATTCAAGTTAATGGGTGTCCTTTGCCTTTGAAGCTTGAAAAAATTGGGTCGTTTGTACATGCAATGATTGTTATGGGCTAAATTCTGCCCTCTGGTATATACGAGCAGCATCCAATTGGAATCGCATCCACATCAGAGAGCAGAACTTGATATAATTTTTTAGACAATATAGAAAGTAACGCAGTCTAAAAGGAGATGTTGCCCACTGTTTGTGCCATAAAGACGCACAGTGCAGATACTGGATGGTTTTGAGTTACTTTGACAAAAATAAAACATTAATTTTAAGTACCAGTGATCCTCGAACCAAACCGTTTCAAGTTCATAGACTACCTTAGCTCTCATTTCATAAATCAAAATTGGTCCTTGGACACACATGGGTATGCACATCTTGTATACTTATAGTTAGGGACCACTTTTTATAATGCCGTTTTTTTCTCAGTAATTTGGAGTTGCAAAGAATTACATTTTTATTTGTTTGAATTAATAATTATTTTCCTTGCTGTACCCAGTCTCATAGCTTGCTAATGGAATTTCTCAGCTACATCAAGGTAAGCCACCATTCCTATTTTTTTTCTCGCTCTCTTTCTCTGTCTCATTTCTTTGCTTTATATTTATTACATCAAATGATTTATTGGCAGAGAACTGTGTAAAGGAAGACAAGTTTGGTCACGTTCTAAACATATATTTAATAAAGCAAGTATCCAACTAATGCCACCGATTACCCCAGTATGCATGTGCTCTAGCAGCTCATGTTGCGTTCATAATTGCTGGAATAGTTCATAATTGCTGGAATAGTTTTTACCTTCGATTTTAATTTTGTGGCCATGTTTTTGGCCCTTACATACAAGTTTACGGCTCTCCTTTACTGAAGTGTGGAGTTCTGTATACCTGGGGTTCAGTTTGGAACTAGGGGTTTAAAATAAACTTAAAAATAAGAAGACGCTTTGGAAATGTTGCATCGAAATTTTCTCTTTTTTTTCCCCGTGGCTGAAGTACGTGCTCCATTTCAAGTAGCTCACTTCAAAAAGAAATCAGACGCTCCCGAATAGTTGGCAATAGCTTTTTATGCAGCCTAAAAAAGGAATTCATAGAGAAGCGGGCTGGCTTCAGCAGTGTATTAACAGTCCGCCTTTATCCTGGTTAGATTCCCCGCACTTTAAGTGGAAAAGTTTCTATCTTTGAAAAAATAGTGTCTGCAAGTACCGTGGCACCTGATCCTGTTCATGCTGAGGTCAAGATGCTTGAAGGTGCTCAGTGCCTGGTTAAATCAGCCCCTGGGTTTCTGAATGTGAACACGCAGCATTGATTTAAAAAAAAAAAATCAATTATTCCTTTATAGCCAAGGTGTCGCATCTGAGTGAGAATAAGGATCGTGGTAGCTGTGTGTAGTCTGTTGCTTTTGTGTATATTTGAAACGCGTGCACAGTAAAAGGTCATGTAAGCCTTCAACATGATTTCCTTTCTAACTTCATACCCCTGAGAAGCATGGTGTCATCTTAACCTTTAGAGGTGTATTATAGAAAAGGTCAGGGTGCCTTAGGCTTCCTTTGAATGTGCTGTTCGTCTAGTTGCATTTTTAAAGTTTGTGAATCATCTTGAACATCTCCCCCCCCCCCCCCCCCCCCCCCCCCTTGCTCCTCAATTAAAAATAGAATACCCAATTCTCACGGGGTTTTTTTGCTTTTCAAAGTACATTTTCCTATCTGGAGCTGGAGGGAGAAGAGCATATTCATTCAGTTCGTGCAGTTACCTGTATTAGTCCTGGTTAACTTGATCCCAGTTTTATGGGGAACAAGATTCTCGGCTTAACAGACACGTGGAAAGTTTCATTAGCACTCATATCTCTTGCATGCACAGGCATCTGGCTTCAAGCCACCCCAGATATCGGTGACGCTGGTGGAAATCCAGAGTGATCAGTAGATTTTTTTTTCTTTGCAGTGTGTGTCTTTGTACAGTCATTTTAGGTCACCGCCCTCATCATACTGCAAAGCTATGCTTAACTTGCTGGGTCCTCGCAAGTGTTGTATCCTGCCATGGGTGGTGTTAGGACCTGCACATTCATAGGACCAAAAGATCTAGTCCCCAGCCCCCTTGGTCAAGGCAGGATTGTCCCTGGCTAAGCCATCCCAGCCAAGCATCTGTCCAACCTGCTCTTCAGCCTCCAAGGAAAGACAGCCTGTTCCAATGCTTGACCACCTTCATAGTCAGAAAGTTGTTCCTAATCTCCAGTGTAAATTTTCCTGGCTGCAGCTTGAGGCCGTTGCTCCTATTCCTGTCCCCTGCAGTCATGGAGGAAAAAAATCCCATCTCCATCCTCTCTTTAATTGCCCTTTAGGTATTTGAAGACTGTTGTCAAATCCCTACCTTCAGTCTTCTCTTCTCCAAATGAAGTGAGTGCCTGTAGACATGCTGGGAGGCTGCTGGGACATGCTGCAATTACAGCGTGTCAGAGCAGCTGGATTAATCAAGTCTCTGTGGTCATTACCATGCTCCAGCAGCCTTGTGTATCAGCGGCCCCATGCTTCAAAACAGCAGAATTTGAACTCAAGTTTGTCAAATGAGCTTTAGTTCAAGTTCGAGTGTTTGTTGAATAATTTAAAGTTGGTCAAATGAGCTTTAATTCATTTTGAAGTGCGGGGACACTGATACACGAGGCGCTGTGGCGCTTTAAGTAGAGCAGCTCTAATTAAAGTTCCCCCCTCGCCCCGGAGTACGTGTAAAAGTGCCCAGTTATTTTCAGCCTTTCCTCGTTAGTCTTGCCTCCCAGGTATCCCCTAATCATTTTGATTGCTCTGTGCTGATCTCATTCCAAACTGACCACATCCTTCTTGAAGCGTGGGGCCCCAAACTGGATGCAGTCCAGTGCCCCAGTTGAAACCTCCCCAGTACTGAATCGTATGGAAGAATCCCTTCCCTTGATTTGCAAGTGCAAGTCCTGTTAATACATCTCCGTACGCTGTTGGTTTTTTCTGCTACATGAGTGCTTGTGCTGCAGTAAGCTGAGGTGCCGTGTCATTCCTTGTCAGTGAATTTGTGAGATGCGGCATATCTTTCTGAGAGCGCTGGTGGCTTTGTTGGCAAGCGTAGGCCAACGCGCACTTGAGCGGTTGAGCCTGTGTCTGCATTGCAGAGTGGGGAAGCTCACTGGACCAAACGAAAGCAGTACATGGTCTTTGGCCCTCACCCAAGGGTGGGCCGGCTATCTGAGATGGGCCAGTCCACTGAACTTGGCCTAGAGGTTTTTGGGTGGAGAGAACAGGGACAAAACTCAAGTAACTCCATCATGAAGATGGGCCTTCAAAGGGCAAAACTCATATCTTGGGTCCTCAGCATAGCTTGGAGATTTTGCTTTCCCCCGAGGTCAGCGGGAGCTCTTTGATGGAAAGGAGCGCCTTGAAGTGGCTGCACCGTGCTTTGTTTCATGTGCTGTGTCCGCCATTATCTGTGATTAAAACTGGGTTTTGATCAAGTATTTTGAACGCACGCGCACATTAAAATCCCATCAAATCACAACCTAAATAAACTGCACCAGAAGAGCAGCAAGCAGACTGATTAGGCCCTTTCCTTCCACGTCCTTCTACTCAAAATGGGGAGGAGGATCTTTGGCTCCGAATCCACGAGGTGCTGCAGCCACTTCTCCGCGTTGCAGTGATCAGTCGCTAAAGCCTCCGTTCAGTGTTTAAGTACCCATTTATAGTTGCCTTTCTTTGATATCCCTTGGACTTTAAGCACGTGCTTAAGGTTCCACTTAGAGGACTTCAGCACATGGTTTAAGCACGTGGCTTGCTGAATGGAGACGGTTGGCAGCACTGAGACCAAAAGCCAGAGCGTTGTTTTCTTCAAAATGGATGGTTTTTCCCTTTATATCTGAAAATTAATACTTTGCTCATAAAAGATGAGGGAGCACACCATCCATTCTACCTGGATCAATTGGTGCCTTTTGTAGCTGTTAGGAGCTGTCTGCTCCAGGGGTGCCAAGTTATTAATACCCGTCTACAAATTCTTTCAGCTTCATCAGTTTAACGAGCAACTGATTTTCATTTATTTATTTATTTCATCGTTTCATATGAAACGATGAAATGATTTGAAGTTGGCCAGTCTCTCAAATAGCGTCTGACAATAGAAGTTTTGAGTGGAGGCAGCTTGTCTCATTCCTTTCTTAGAGACTTTTTACATGCAGGCTCTTCTGTCGGTGCCTGTGCCTTGCTGGGTATTTTAATGAGGTTTCTCCAAGAGCTTGAAAGGAGTAGGAGATGAAATTCAGTGGCGGTTGAGCACCTGATGCTCTTCAGGCTGCTTGGAAAATCCCAGCCTTGACTGTTAAATTCCTCTGTGGGTCCCAACATCTTGTTTCCTTTCTCCAGCAGCCGATTGTCATGTTAGACGATTCTGTTTCTTTTTAAAAGGAGAGGCACCGGCTCTTAATAGGGGCTTTAATAGTTACGAAGGCAGTACACTTCAACATTTAAAGATGATGTGAGTCTGGAGAAGAGAAGACCGAGGGAGGATTTGGTAAGAGTCTTCAGATACTTAAAGGGCGCTTACAGATTAAATGGATATGGATAACAGAGGATAGAGATGGGCTTTTGCCCCTGGCCATAGGGGAGAGGAAGGACTAGGAGCAATGACCTCAAGCTTCAGCAAGAGAAATTTAGGTTGGAGATGAAGAGGAACGTTTTGGCTATGTGAGTGGTCCAGCGCTGCAACAGGCACCTAGAGAAGCTGTGCCATCTCCATCCCTGGAAGATTTCAAGAGCAGGTTGGACAGACACTTGGGTAAGATGCTTTAGTCAAGGATGATCCTGCCCTTGATGCCATTAAATTAGTTTGGGGCCCCAGTTCAGCAAAGACCTTTACCCATTGTAAATGTGCACTTACAAAAATTCAGCGTGCACTTTCGTGCTGTGCTGAATCCGACTTTGAGGCTTAATAACTGCAGTATATTTTTGCGAAACGAGTCTTCTAGCATATTGTCTGTGGGAAATGTGTAAGTTGGAAAGCTTCCAGTAAACCCCCTGACAAACCAGGGCAGGCATATGTGTAGGTTAAGATTTCAGTCCTTCTGTTTTATTATTCTTTCACTGTTTTTCGTAAATGTGGCTTTGCCCACCCTATCCTTTCTAAAAGAAGATGTGACACAATCTGGCAGTTCCCAGCTCTGAGAACTGAATTCCATGGACTGGTTCCCTCTTCATATCTTCAGTCCATAGTAGTCAGTTCTCTAGCTTGGCTGTATCTGACTTCACAACTAGTAAATCTGGGTGCCGGGGTTGTGGTTTTTTTCTTTTCTTGTGTTTGAATGAAAAGCAGTGAGTGTTTTGCAGCCTTTTTATTTCTTAGAGGTCCATCTGAGTTAGAATCCCTGCAGTCTTAAAAGAAGCCAAAAACAAATGCAACATGGCTTTGGAAGCATTATCTCCAATCATTTAAAGGCAAAACTTGCATCTGAAGTTGTACAGCTCCCTGTAGTATTGCAAATCATGGTCAGGACTAAAAGAAAAAATAAATAAGACTACTTAACACTTCTTATGTTTTCAAAAGTTCCTCCCCAGCGTTAATTTTTTGCACTGCATTTTGATGTATGTGTTGTTAACCCATTTTACAGATGGGAAAGCCAAAGCATGGGGAAGTTCAGATCCTGATTCACCACTGCATGGCATTACTCCAGTCATCTGTGTAATAACATGGAGTTGCACCGAACAGTAAAACTAGATTAAAGCAGTGGTGAATTGGAATCTAAATGACTCGATTCATGTCACAGAAGGAGATCAAAACTCAAGAGTTCCTGGTTTTTCACTGGTCTGTGTGCACTGCCTCTCTGAAGTAGCACTGGGTATATGCTTCTGCTAGTAAGAAATTAGCTAAGAGATAAGCTTATGAAGGAGATTCAACCACAAAGAGCAGACAGACCACTAAAGAGCTTAGAGCCACCAGGAGTTCTGGCCCAAGTATAATTTTTAAAGGTATTTTGCACCATCCTTGAAACTGAAATAAAAAGGAGTCTCCAGCATGCCGCCTGGAAGCTTGAGTTAAGTGTGGTTGGATAGAAAGAAATACAGGTAGCAGGAAGAACGGAGCCAGGGGCATTGTACAAGGCGTTGCATACAGAGAATCCAAGCTGTGCTTGCGCTTATCCTGCCTCTGTAAAAATAAGCTGTTGTTCAAAACAGATGCCCAGAAACGCATTCAAATCTCCATCCCCAGGTGGGCAAGAGCTTCCAGCTTATCTTGAAGCAAAGCTGTTTCGTTCAAACGATGCAACACTAGTTATTTCCCCAGGCAAACGTTGGCTAGGAAAGAGGAATTAAATTGCAATTTCTTGCTGCCTAGCTGCGTCCTTCACATCTCTGCAGCTAGCCAAATAACATGCTAACCCAGTACTTCCTCAGCTGCATTTCACTTTTTGTTTGTTCCCATAGAGTACAAAGGTGGTTCAGCTGGAGGACCTGGCTTCCCATCTGGGTTTGAGGACACAGGTAAAGATTAAAGGCTTGAATGAACATGGAAAATGGTACATTTGGAGGAAGGAGGGAAGGTGGCAAGTAGGGTTCCTCCCATGCGGGTCTGCTTCTGTGGAAGATACATTGGGTTTTCTCTGAGGTTCATCCAATGCACGTTCACGTGCCCTCTCCTGATTTACCAATCTAGGGTAGGTTGGGTTACAAAGCTGCCTAAATACGTAGCTAGAAGCATATTCATTGTTGAGAAAGACGGCAGCGGTCCAGATGAGTGGGAGACCTGCAACACTAGCTGTGTCGTTCATACCAAAGTATTTGTCCTGACAGCCTCATTCCTTGCTGGCATCCCCTTGTCCTCTTTCCTCCTCTCCTTCTCCATGTCGCTCACTTTGAAAAATAATTTTAAATCATTATATTCGTAGTATGATCCTTACTCATTAACAACTTCCCTTCAAACCCTACGCAGACCCCTCCCAAGTGAACTCACAGTATCATATACCCGTTGTCCTCTGCCTTCCAGTTGGTTTTCTCCATCCCTCTGCTCTTGTGCTTCTTCCTATTCTGTCTTGCTTCCATCTGCACTCTGGGGGGGTCTCATGTTTTATTTTCTTCCACGGCATCTAATGCAGTGCAGTTTCTGCATGAATAATAAAAACCTCATCTGATTACACTGAGTCAGCCCCTCACGGGGCCGTAGGGATTTCTAGAGATAAATTTAGCGCGTTTCCTCTGTCCTGTTGACAACGCCAGAACCTTAAACAGAATTAATACACTTCTGTATATGTATTTGAGGCATACAAATGCATATAATATAAATGCACGTGGCTCGATTGATGTGGCTGATTTTATTTATTATTTTTCCACCTGCTCACAAACTTTCTTGTTCTGGGAATCTGTGCAGTGCACTTTCAAGAAATAGTTGAACTGTATCCCTGACCTCCAAATAACTTTGCAATAACAATTTTTCAAAGGGGAAACTACTTGGCTGCCTATACACGTGCTCGGGGGTAGAGGGGGCGTGTTTTAATTAGAGCCGTTTCTGGATAGCCGCTCTAATTAAAGCGGCTCGCTGTCATGTGTATTAAGCCCCTGTGCGTTTCGAAACGGCTGCAGGATGCTTTAAAGCTCATTTGACAGGGTTTAGATAAAGTGCCCCAGTGGCCATTTTGCGGGGGCTTAACATACGTGACAGTGAGGCGTTGTCTGCTCCGACACGTTCTAATTAAATGTGAACGAGCACGTCTCTAGGCTCCCCTTACGCAAACAGAGTTACAGAGACTGACAGTTAGAAACTTGTCCGACAACCAGCTGATCATTCACGCCTGTGCGGGAATGCTGATATGCATGTTTTATCTGAACGTTCAGCACTCAGAAATAACGATTTCTCTGATATGTCTAAAAACATGAAATCTCTCCTCTCGTCTCTTAACCGGCTGTTTTTTCTTTCCCCAACAGGATGCAATTAATAGAATACAAGACCTGATGGCAGATGGTACTCTGACAGGTGACACTGGAAAGATTGCATGTTTCTATCTACTTGGGTTAGACTGTGAATAGATAACCTAGGAGCAGGAGGCCAGCCTCTGGGGCACATGCCACAAGTGGCACCGACAGTCTTTATGCGTGCACACACGAGATCAGGGAAGGGATAGCAGCAGGTAGTGTAGGAAGCAGAAAAAAAGAGTAGCAGATTGGGCAGGGAGCACATGGCAGAGAGAAGAAAGCAGAGCAACATATTAGGCAGGGGACTGTGGTTGGATTGGCTCTTGCAGAGGGTGCGGGGCTCACTCCTAGCATACCTGCCAAAGAGGTTGGCCCCCATTGACCTAGAAAATGCTTTACCTGCTAGGAAGAAAATGTTCCAACTAGACATAAGTAGTAGATGTGCTATATTACCCCAATTTCACCTGTCAAGACTTTCTGTTTAAACTGGCCTGCAGTGTTGGAGGGAGGCTCTCTAGCTCTTTGGTACAAGGTTGTAACTGTGGCATGGTATTAAAATAATGTACCCTGAATGCCATTCACCTGCAGACAGACCCTGCACAAGGCCTGTGTATCATTTAAGTCCTACTGTGAAGGCCTTAAATAGCACAGGCACTGCTGTGCTGCACATAAGTGTGAATTGCTGTCTCCTGGATCTAAATTAGTTAACCTGCAGGAGCAGTAGGGGACATTGTGAAAGCCCAGAGACCAGAGTTGGACAAGGCCTGAGTTGCTTTGCCCATTTTGAGCCAAATTAGTAAAGTCTGGGCAAGGAACTTTGCCACGGTTGAGAGCACAGTTTCTTCTCCCCAACTGATGGTGACAATGGCAACCTGAAACCTATTTATGTGTTTTTTTAAATTTTAAGTTAAAATAGTTCCTGGTTGTAGACGTACCCATAAGTCCCTCATCCGGTGCTTGTCTTCTTTTGCAAGGGTTTAGTCAGGGATGGTCCTGCCTGGAGCCAGGGGGCTGGACTTAGATGACCTCATGAAGTCCCTGCCAGCCCAATTTTTCTGTGATTCTGTCATTCTAAAATCCCACATTCCTCTTTTTAAATGGATGATGCGCCCAAAATAGATAAAGCTGTTGCTAAATATTGTTCTTTAAGTCTATCGTCTTTTGTTAAAAGTTACTGCCAGTGTATAAGGGTGGAAAATTGAGTTAAGCTGATTTTCCACGCTTCACAGGGTATCCTGTTTCACCGAAGAACACAAAGAAATCTGTGCTAGGTAGGATAGTCCCAGTGGTTAGAGCACTTGCTTTCTACTATTGAAGTCTTCTAACAACAGTTAATTATTTTAGCCTATTGTATTCTAATAAATTCATAGTTTCTAGGGTCGGAAGGGACCTGAACAGATCATCAAGTCCGGCCCCCTGCCCTGGGCAGGAGCAAGTGCTGGGGTCATAATCCCCCATAATCATCACGGTGCTGTCTGTATGTAAATCTCTGCAGCCACCAGCAAGACCCCCTTGGTCCACAGGGTTTATCTAGAGAGTCCAGCAGATCATTTGGATATGCCCTTAACTTTAAAGCTTGTGAATAGTCCCATTTGGAATCAGTGGAACATCTCGCACATTTATACTTAAGCACAGGCTTGAGCGGTTTGCTTAATTTCCACCCTAGTGCCTAAGGAGCACTTGTCAGCTTTACAGAATGGCTGCTTCTTTCAGTGCATTTAACACCGTGCAAAAACGAAGTTCAGGACTGGATCTGAAAAGATGATGTAGGTGAGGACTGAGATGCACTAGTGGAACTTGCAAAACACCTCCCTGTGCAGTGTGTTACTTCAGCCGGTAATTTGGTGTCTCGTTTTCAAGTCTATCCACTGTCTTTTTTGCAAAGCAAGCTAAAATGTATAGGGCCAGTTGTTTGCAAAGGTGTTTAGAGGCCTAACGTGACTTTCAGAAGTGTTTAGGCACCTACCTCAATGGCTGTTCTGACCATGCAACGAGGCATTTATCACTGCGGTGTCCTTTCGCCCTGCCCTTTTCCTTTGTATGTAAATTCCTCTCTGTTTTAAACCCTGTCTTTCTCCAAATCCATTTGTGAGATCCAACTTCATACTTCATGAGATCCAACAGGCATCTCATGAAGTAGCCTGTTGCCTATGAAAGCTCATACCTCTCTGAACCAATTAGTCTCTACAGTGCCACCCTCTCCTGCCTTGTACTTGGAAATGTAGTCAGCCTTGCAATACTGACTCCAGGTCACCTTTTATCTTGTAGGTGTTATCGATGACCGAGGAAAGTTCATCTACATCACCCCGGAGGAGATGGCCGCTGTGGCTCAATACATCAGACAGAGAGGACGAGTCTCCATTGCCGAACTGGCCCAAGCAAGCAATTCCTTGATCAACCTGCAGCCTGACAGCAAAGCAGTAACTCAGACTGTGGCATGAGGATACATTCCACGGTGTGGGAGGACACAGCAATGTTGGCCTTTAAAAAAAAAATCCTGTCTGTTTTTAATGATGAGAGAGGGGATATGATGGTCACATCCCAACATGAATTGGGGGACTTCATCAGGAGTTCTGCTTCCAAATGGATTAGAGTAGGTAATTGGAATAAAATGGGGTTTCATTATTTTGTTTTGCAAAGGATGCTGGAGAAGAACTTGGCAAAACTGCACTTTCTCTCTCTCGCTTTTGCTCTGGCTCAGGGATTTCAGTTATAGTGCCTGATTACTTTGTCACGTCAGTGCATAGCCCTCACGCCCAGGCACACCCATAAGCACATCTAAGCAGTCCGGATCCCTCTCAAGACTCAGAAACCTGCATTGTTTGTGGGCAGAAAGATTGTTCTGGGTAAGTACACACCATCCCAGACACCCATTGGCTCCCAGATTCCTGTGTCCACTTCACATCCACGTAACAAAATTACAGGGGGTTTATCCAGCTAGTTGTGCAGCCTAAATTCTAGTTTTAAAGTAGTCTAGCATGCCTGGATTCAGGTGAGGAAAACAGATCTATCATGATACCTGCAGCTTTTGCTGTATCTTCCAGAATTGACCAGGAAGATAAAAAAGAAGAGATTAGACCTTTCTCTCTCTATAGCACTTCCCAGGTTCAGAGAACTTCAAACATTGAATCTTTGCAGCCTGTGGCACATAAAAGACCTCCATCGGAGGCATAGAATGCCAAAAGCACGCTGGCCAACTCAAAAGCCCTCTTTGTTGTGTCTGTAGCCAGAAAGACAGGAACATCCACACACGCAGAGATGAGCTCCCCATCTTATTTTACAGGTCGGTCCTAATTACTGCCGGCCTTGTGTGTTTCTCTTGTTACATCCTGATGTTCCACCCATCTGAAGGCCTGTGCCAAGTCGGAGACACTGCTGGTTTCAAACACCTGTGTATCGGCAGGTTTGGGTATTCAAATACTAGTAACACAGAGAACTGCCTTGAAGGACTTTCAGTGATGCAATTAATGCCACGAGCAGCATATTACTAAGATGCTATTGTATCACTTGCTTTAAATAAGTTAATTACTTTAGAGGAAAAAATGAGTTTCAGTATGGAAGACATGTTTAACGTTTTTTTAAAAAGTAACCATATAAGTGCTTTGTTAATTTTTCCTTCTTTCTGCATTAAACACGTTGCGCTTGAGGGTATGACACAGTAATCGGGTACAGGGTTTTCGCTGTACCAGACTTCTATTTGCACACACTATGCTGAGGTAGAACTAAGCTGGATAGACATCTTGCTGTAAATGAGATAAGATACTTGTGCAACAACCAAATCAAGTGTGGTTCTCTCAACAGCTGGTACTGCTGGACATGGCAGCTCTGGGCAGCAACACTGAGCAGTAGTGCTGCCATGCATATTTGATGCAAAAGCTGGTCTGTTTTACCATCTCAGAGAGAGTCGGTAATCATCAAAGAAGATGGTTGATCTTAAAGCTTTTTAAGGTGTCTGAATGATTTCAAATTGGTTCAGAGGTGCATTGCTATTTTGTTCTGTCCTATCATTGAATAGGCTCTTCTTGTAGTGAAATAAAGCCACTTGAGAAAATTGCACGCGTTGGAGTTTGTGGGTTTTTCTTCGTTCATGAGTGGGTTTTAGAAAGCTTTAAGTAGTGAGAGAAATCATGGAGACTGCGGCAGATTCCAGTACCCAGGGTTAAGTCCAGAGACCTCCATTGAAACCCCTGGGGTTACTCCAACTGCGTACACGCTTATTCTGGACGTAGCAGAGTTCAAAACCATTTCTGTGTTTTTAATGCAAGCTTCCTTCTGCAGCGCCGCCTAACCTCACTTAATTAATGCAAAGAGTCCTGCCACTAGCACTGAGCTGCTTTGGATTTTAAGAGATGGGCAATCCTCCAAGCTCTCTGCATATACAGAAACCCAAGTAAGCACAAATTCACTCGGTGTTGGGTACCCTGATATCCCGACACACACTTATCCCAAGGGAAATGCTTTTATTGAATATTCCTGGCAAGCTCGGGGGGAGGTGGGGGACCCCTGGCACTTCACAGAGTAAAGTGCAAGCCTAGGGAAGGGTGCCTGTGGGATGGGGGGGTGAAGGGGAAGAGGCAGAAATCGCTGCTCACCCCCAAACCATAGCAGCATCATTCCAGTGCAGCACCTACGTCCTCCGTAGCTTAGTCACAACACCTTTTTTTGTGTTCAAAGAGATTTTCAAACTATCTAGAAGCACATGCAGTGAAAGCAGTTTAGGACCAGGCAAGGCAGGGCCTAGGACAGTTTGCACTGCAAATGTTTTGGAGGGGAGGGAGGGACTGTTTGCTCAAAGAATTTTTGGGGATATTAAATCTAGTACCGGGAAGCAAGGATCAGATGCAATTACTGAAATGGCCAGGAAAGCATTCCTTTTAGCTCACCAGCCTCATGCGGAGGTGAGGAAGGAAGAGCAAGAGAGAAACCATACCAAACACCCTGCTTTCTGAAGAAAGGAAGCACTACCTTGGGTTCAAGGCTCCTCTCCCAATGACGGTTGCTAAAACGTCTGTGCAGTCCATAGTTGTGATCATTAGCCACACTGCAGCCCTCCTAACCGGGAGACGTTTTTCACGTAGGAAATCTGCAGTGCAGAGATTAATCAGTGCGCCTGTGGGACACCAACGGGAGCGAGCCCTGGGAATTCCTGGTTGATTGCCCTCCGCTCTAGTTCCCTGGGGCTTTCCTCTGTTGCCATTTGCAAGGGGCCCAAGCAAAGCTGCAGAAATGTGGCTAAAGCAGACGGCCCCAAAGCCTGATTCTGAGTGACAGCAGAGTGAACATGACAACGACATGAAAGGAAATGGTCAACATTGCCAAACCAGTCATGAGATCAAATTAAATGGAGTGCAAGGCCTGAAAGAAGACCTTGTATTTGATCATCCAAATCCAGTAGAATAACTGGTTAGACGAACACCTCGCTGGGGTCGTTTGACCCCAGTACTTTTTCCTGCCATGGCAGGGGGTCGGACTTGATGATCTGCTCAGGTCCCTTCTGACCCGACCAACTATGAAACTCTTATCTTAAAATGTTAGCAGGTAGGGTTGTGTAAGTAGATGCATTTGATATCGGTACATTTTTAAGTTTCTTAGATGAGTTGTCAAAAAGCGGCCTTGGCAGCGAAGACCTATAAACTATGGTGAAGAGAAAACAGGACAGTGTTAAGCAGTATTTCATGATGGTGAAGGAAGGATACAAGAAACCCTTCTTTTTTCCCCACCAGTTGACACCTTCCAAGTGCACGAGAGATCTAGTTCAGGTTGGCCCCCAAAGTTTTAACAAAATAAATTTAAATAAAACTAATCGGAGGATGCTCAGTAGACTATTAGAATAAGCCGACCATAAACACAGAATATAGGCTGGAGGGAAAATTGGAGAACTCGGCAAATCCAAGAAGACCTGCTGCCAGTCTGCACGCCGCCCTCCCTGTCTTGGGTCTGCCCAGGTGGTAGGTGACGGTCTATGTAGTGCTGGCACGGGTGGTCAGGTAGACTTTTGGGAGAAGTGTTTGCATTTTGGGATATATCAGCAATAAGCTATCCAGCACCCCGGGGTGTGACAGGCGCATCTCAAATTGCTCCGTACATCTGACCATCTCCCGAGGTCCCTTCCAGCCTTAAACTTCTGCGAACAATTAGCACGGGGATCAATGAGAGCTGAGACGGGGCAGTGCCTGGATGCTACGCAGGGGGGGCTAGGAGGCTATAGCTTTAGCCAGCAGGGCAACGGGTTTGGCTTTCCGTGACGCATGTGGGTAAAACCCGGGATCCCGGCACTTGGCGTGGGTGAAGGGCTCGGCGTCGGAGAAGGGGATTGGCTTTCGAGGCTCGCGGGCTTGGCGGGAGCGGTTGGGACCGCGGCGGCAGGTGGACCGTTGGGGTGGAATGTTCCCCCACCGCCGCCTGGAAGCCGTCTTCAGCCGACGGGCGCACGGTGCCGGGGGGCTCGATGGCGGCCCAGCCGGAGACCACCCCGCCGGAGGATGTCCAGCCAGAGACCGCCCCGCCGGAGATCACCAAGCCAGAGAAAAAAGCCAAGCCGGAGGAAGCCAAGCTGGAAGACGCCAAGCCAGGGAAAGCCAAGCTGGTGAAAGTCAAGGAGGAGGACGCCAAGCCGGAGAAAGCTGCGTGGCGGCGCTCGCTCCCCTTCCAAAAGCGAGCCTCCGACCAGAAGCCCTAGTCCTTGTGGCTGCTGCCCCTGACCGCCAAGCAGGGCCTGGCAGCGGCCACGACACAATGCATCTCCCTGGCGGCCCTCTGCGTGGCCATCTCCTACCTGAGCTGGGTGGAGCTGGAGTACAGGGCACACAGCGACGACCGCCTGGTGATGCGCTGGGCCGTGTCCTACACCTTCGGGGTGCCCTTCAGCCTGCACTCCGCGTACTGGCTGAACACGTCGGCGGAGGAGTTCAACCCGGTGGCGCCCAACTTTTGGGAGCAAGGTAACACCCGGGAGAGGAAGGAAAGGGGTGATCTTTACAAGCAAAGGACCTGGGGGGCTGCGTGTCAGGGGGGACCCAGGTTGTGGGGGAGAGAGACGGCGGGGAGCTTGTCCGGCAATGCAGCCTTGGGGTACGGTGCAATAGTCTGGGGCATGGGTTAAACTTGATCCCAAAAGCTCGGCTTTCCCAGGAGTTTCCAGAGGGTGCATTCGAGCCTTCAAAGTGAACTTCAGCCTCATGGCGTCGGGGCATCACACCCCTGCCTGGCTGAGTGGGACGGTGACTCTAACCAGCAGGGATATTTCCTTCTGTTGGTTTTAAATACACTTCCCATGGTTAAAGCCAAGTTTTCCTATAGTGGGGCGTTCCAAACATAGAGATCTGGCCGCTTATTGCTCTCCGCGCCGATCTCTTGATACCCTTTTCCATCCCGTGCCCTCTAACGCTTCTCTTCCCCAAGCCAAACCGTTCTAGTTTTCTTTTCCTGACACCAGCATTATTGAATGCTCTGCAGCATTAGCAGCAATGGATTGGATTAATTAATGGACTAAGCAGCTTTATTTAATTAGGTTTGTAATTAGTAAATAAGCACCGGGGTGCTTTAGGTTGCTAAGCACTCTAAAGGCTACGAAGGCCGGTGCATAGATGACTTAGTATTTAGGTTGTCATTCGGATTGGTTTTCTGGTAGGTCATCCGGTTCATCTTTGCTAGAGCTCAGGATTGATTGGTCCTGGCATATTTTGATTTCTAGTGCTTTGCCCAATGCAGTTTTTAATTGTTTCAAAGGCTAGAATATTCCTTTCCTTTCTCTGTCTTGAAATGTTTTTACTTTTATGTTCTAGTTTTATGTTTTTCCTTACTATTAAGCGCTGTCCATCGCTGTTTTTTCCTCCCCATCCTCTGGTCCAGAACAAGGGCTCCTACACACGACGGTAATACCGGGCGTACAAATAATTACTGGCTCCTTTGATTCAGATCACACTAATTCTACTATCCTGCCAGGACTCAAATATCCAAGAGCACTATTTCTAGAAAGCAGCAAAAAAACTTCAAATGCTTTCCTGGAAAAACACAGATCTGGGTTCCTGGTACCATCGGTAAAAGTTCTGATTTATTTATTTTGAAATAGATGTCGACTCACCTCGGTAAAAGCAATTTAGCCCTGATCAGAATTGCCAGTCGTACGCCTTTAAAAATCGTGTGATTTAAAAAAAATAATAAATTCATGCTTTTATTTGCCCTTTGGCTTTACAAGCATGAATGTTCCTGTTTCTAAGCTTTTCTCTAAAAAATGAATTCTAGGAACTTTTTAAAGTTTAGATCCTATTGTAATCGCATGGCTCCAGGAACTGAGAGTTTCAGGACAACACCAAATGTCACAAGCCGTGATCAACTCACAGTTGTTGGGATGGGGACTTGGCCATCTCCAGAGGCATTGCTAGATATTGTGACTTTGATGAATTCATAGGGCCAGTTGAGATTTACTCTGATCACCTGCTTAACACAGGCCAGAAGATTTTATTCATTGCCTTGGGCCCAGTACCAAGCGTTTGATTTCCAGGAGTGCTAGAAGGTATCCTATGGGGCTGGGGGGTAGGTTGTAGCCGTGCTGGTCTAAGGACGTAGGCAGACGAGCTTCTTTGGGTGAAACCAGCATCTTTTATTAGACCTGTAACGTCATCCTTTTGGTGATCCGCAAAACAAAAGCCTGAAAGGGCAAACTTCCCCTTCCAACCAGAAGAGAAAAAAACAGTAATAAAGCATGTTTCTATCAAAGAAAAAAATCAGCTTTCAGAGCCAGAAGACAAAAAAGTTCCTACCTCCTGGGCTTATACGTCCCTGCCCGCTTTCATGGACTGGTTTAGGTTAGAGGAGTCCAGATCAGCAGCTGTCCCATAGTCAAGGTAAGTGAGAGCTGAATTTGGAAATTTGCACCTGATGAGCCAACGTGGAATCAAGGTAGGAGTGTGATGTTCCTATTCTGATGCATAACAAAGGTGCGTTTCTGTAGGGTAGCAGGACCCTCCGGTCCGGCCCCTTAGATATCCACTTCCACAAGCCACTATCACTTCGCCTCCTCCTCCCAGTCTGTCTCTGCTAACAGCAAAGGA